AAGGTGTGCAACACTGCCGTCTGGCCTACAGCATACACATTATAACTGAAGGTCAAACCTGCAGACCTGTCAGTCACTGTTTCTAACTCAATTCTTTGCATTAAGGAAAGAAACCTAATACTCCAAAATAGGAATTGAATTACACCTTAAACTATTCTTAATGTCACAACAAAGAGTATAACCTAACCATACCTTATTGTGACTTATCACTTCCAAGGCCTGTTGATGTTTTTGGTAGAGTGGGTGTCTTCTGTCAGGCTTGACATATGGCTTCTTTGCCAAGAGCCTTTCAAGTTCAAATGTTGGTGATTTCGTGTCGAACAGTTGTGAAATATGTGGTGAAAATATGAAAGGCTTAAAAACAGACCTAGAAGAAAGGGTTTTTATTGAATTTGCATGTCAAAATAAAAAAACAATTATTGTGTCTTCCTAGATTTATTCTAATTGAGGTTTCTAATAATAATGCATATACTCTAATTGGTTCCTGCCTGTTGTAGAATATTATTTTAAGATGTGTTACATTCGTTTATGGTGTGGGATATTTATTTAATGATGCAAAGATGTGTTGCATTCTTTTATGTTGCATTTGTTTAACTCTGTGAAGCTGTGTTACTTTGCCTGCCTAAAACACCCGATTGGTCTAAAAATGAGCTGAACGACCAATAGTTAGGCAAGAGAGAGATAGGTGGGGCTGCCAGGCAGCAAGAATCGGAGAAATCTAGGCTCAAAAGAAACAAACAAAGAAAGAATTATAGAATAGAGAAAGTTAAAAGCCCAGAGGCAAAAAGTAGACAGGATAATTTAAGTTGGCTAGAAACAAGCTAAGCTAAGGTCAGGCACTCATAAGTAAAAATAAGTCTCTGTGTATTTATTTGGAAGCTGGGTGACAGGGCCCCAAAGAGCTGGCTGGTGACTCTCTGACTCCCCCATTCTCCTTCCCATCATCCTTAGTTTGGTCACCCTGCCTGTACTTCCTGCCTGGCTACTAGCCAATCAGCATTTTATTAAACCAATTCAAGTGACAAATCTTTTCAGTGCACAAGAGCATTATCCCACAGCAAATCAGGATAACTGCATACAAGAACCTGTTAACCTTTTCTTCCCCTAAAAATGAGAACCATTATATACACAGAGACTGCAAACTAAAATCCGCAGAGAATGCATCATTACAGTTAAAGCCTCAAGTGATGGCTCAGTGGTGGTGCTCTTGTGGAAGACACACACTCAGTTCCCAACATAACAGGCAGCTCACAACGACCTGCAAATCCAGCTCCAGGGGATCCAATGCTTCGGGCCTCTACAGTCCCTGAACATTCCCCCCACCCCCGCCACACACACACAAATAATGAAAATTTAAAAAGAAGTAATTGTTTAAACAAATTCATCTACACACTAATGACTGTACCCTACCCCATGGCCTCTTGGTGGTTTGCGGTATTTGGGGACCTCACCTCTCAGGATGTGGAGTCCCCGTAAAGAAGTGAATGCAAGGAAGGCTGGAATCTCGAGGTAGGACAGAAACCATGCTTGCGGTGCTCAGGAATTCTCCCTTCATATTGATGCCACTTGGTTCATCTCGCAGAATTCCCATCATTGTTTCGAAAGTTATGTTTCCTGAGGAAATAATTGTAAAACCCATCAAATAATGTATATATTTTATAAACATATGCTTTTCTCTATTAATAAAATAATACACACTGGCATTGATTCTCTAGCACCAAAACAGGCCGGGGGGGCAGGGTGAAGAGTATGTTCATCATGTTCATCACTGACCCGAGTCTCTGCTCAGCACTGTCACCAGCCACAAATTCACACATCAAGTCACCACGCGTGCTGCTGTGACACGTCTGTTCTAGCACAGAGCAACACCCACTGTGGAGGACAGACGGCCAAGACAGCTGTGACACCATTTAGGGGGCTGGCGAGCTAAAGCTCGGCGGTTAAGAGCACCTAATGCTCTTACAGAGTCTCCAGGTTCGGTTGCCAGCACTCACAAGGTAACTCCCAAGCATCCAGAACTTCCGCGGCCCCCAGGATGTTGTGCTTCAGGTTAGCATCACCATATAAAAGAATACTTTAGGAAAAATGCCTGTGAGAGACAGTGGAGAATTAGGAGAGGATCAATAAAGCTCCAGACTGCTGGAAGTCTGAACCTGCATTTCGCAGAAAAATAGGAAGATTTTGTATAGGTAACCCTGAGTGTCACTCTCTAAGAACATCCTAGCAAAGCGGTCGCAAGTGAATCCTTGAATTAAAAAGCCAACCTTGCCACGCAGGCGGTGGTGGTGTAGCCTTTAATCCTACACTCAGGAGGCAGAGGCAGGTGGATCTTTGTAAGTTCGAGGCCAGCTTGGTCTACAGAGTCAGCTCCAGAACAGCCAGGGCTACACAGTGAAACCCTGTCTTGAAAAACAACCTTTGGGGAAGTGTGCAGCCCTGAACTAGGGCTGCCTGAGTCTCCCTGCAGCTTTGCCACAGAGCTCTGGGAAATGCAGTCACGCCACCACGTGGTACCTGCAGGTTTCAGCACTGCCACTCTGGTCACGGAACATAAAGAACTATTTTTTAAGTCAATTTTCATTTATTGTGACCCAGGTACTTCCTGCTTCTCTTCACCTGCTCCTGCATACCTTACTTCTCTCTGGGACCCTCTCCCTCCCCACCCCCACCTCCTATTCTTTCTTCCTTCCCTACTTTTTTCACTTCTCTCTGTACTGTTATTATGTTATTAAGAATTCATTAGACCAGGTGTCATGCTAACCCAGTGTTCTACCGCTGACTCACAGCCCCCACACACTTCCTTCCTTTCTCTTTCTCTATTTTTGAATATTGAGACAGGGTTTTGCTAAGTTATCAGGCTAGTTCTCAAACTCCCAGTCCTCCTGCCACAGTCTTTTAATAGCTTTGACTATATCCGTACAATACCACACTTGACTGGGATATATATATTTACTTATTGCCTAAAGAATGTCCCTTAAGCCAGGTGATGGTGGCCCATGCCTTTAATCCCAGCAGTAAGGAGGCTACAAGATACAAGATGGCCAGAGCTAAACAGTAAAACCTGCCTCAAAAAGCTTAATATATATAGGCAGCCTGGTCTACAAGAGCTAGTTCCAGGACAGGCACCAAAGCTACAGAGAAACCCTGTCTCAAAAAAACCGATAAATAAATAGATAGATAGATAGATAGATAGATAGATAGATAGATAGATAGATAGATAGATAGATAGATATTGCCCCTTAATGTTTTTAGTGCTTGGTGGTGAGTGATGAAATCTCTCAGTTTTATTTCAACTTTGTATTTAGAGAACATTATCACTATGTTGCAATTCAAAATTAGTAGATACTATTCTTCTCCCTTAAGGATGCCATTTTCCAGTCTTGTGGGTTCTCTCCTTTCTGCTGAAAATTAGCTGTTAAGTTTTATATTTGTTCTCGTGAATATTATTTTCTTTAGATGCTTGACAATTTTTTGCTTTTCCTCTGAAATATTGCCCAGTTAGTGTCCTCTTTGTGATCTGTAGAGTCGCTTTGTGGCTTTGATTAATTACGAAAAATTCTCAGTCAGTATCCTTTAAATATGCACTGGTGTCTCTCTACGCTCTCCCTTTCGCTGTGACAACCTACCGCACCCCACACGCTCACATGCTCGCTCGCTCGCTTGCAAGTACGCACGCGATGTTTCCTCTGAATCCATGCCAAGCTCATCTCCCCGCTATATTTTCTAACTCTTCTATTTTTCAGTTAGGGTATTTTCTGCTGACCTTTCATTTGATATTTTTCTTCTCTGTTTAATCTGTTATTAAATCAATCTGATAAACTCTTAGCTCCAGTTATATTTTTTTGTTGTTGTTCTTTCATTTCCACTTGGTTTCCTAGTTTACATATTAAATTCTCCATTTTTCCTTTCTCTTTGCTTTCCTTTTCTTCATTTCCTTTGAGACAGGATCTCACTATGTTACCCTGGCTGGCCTAGATCTGAATATGTAGACAAGTAAGCCCTGAACTTGAGGACGTCCTCTGGCCTTCCAAGTGCCGAGACAGTGACTGTGCCACCACATCCAGCTCCATTTTCTTCACCTAATTCTCTCAAACATATTTTTTGTTGTTAAAAACATTTCAAAGTAATTTTATGTATATAGGTGCTTTGTCTGAAGTACATCTGCACACCAGAAGAGGGCACCAGATCACATGGAACTAATATAAATGCTTTTGAGCTGCCGTGTGGGTGCTGGGAACTGAACTCAGGACCTCTAGAAGAGCAGCCAGTGCTAATTAACCATTGAACCATCTCTTCAGTTCCCAAATTTGGATTCTGTCTCTTTGTTTTGTTTTCACACGGGCTTTTCTTACATAGAGGATTTAATAATCTTCTGGAAATAAATAAGATCCACAGAGATGACTTGGATGGAGTTGAGATGGAGCTGCTCTGGTCACTCTCGCCTCTGAAGAGAAACAGAATTCTGGAATCTCAACGGGACACTTAGGCCACTTTCCACTCCTGCCTCTCAGCCGATCCTCAGATAAAGTTGTCTTGAGGCCTATGCCACTCCTAGGAGCTCTGGTTAGCATTAAAGGACCTTAACAATTACTTCCTGCTTAATCACTGTGTTTCACACTACCTTTAAAGTATTACACAGGACGTTGGGTTGTCGGGCTAGGATGTATCTCGTGTCTAACAGGCACAAGGTCCTGGATTCACTATCTAAAATGAAAGACTGAAAAGTAAGGGAAAGAAAAGGTTCATCCAAAGCATTAAATGGTCTTTTCTTAACCGCCTTCATCTAAGCTCTTTGAGGGTGCTGATTCATGCCTTGGGGGTGCTGATTCATGCCTTTGAGCAGTGGCCTCTCCTTCTCAGGTCTTAAGAGTTATTCTTAGCAGGAGAGCAGTCTAATGCCAGGGACTGATCTTCAGCCAGTAAGCCTTTAATCCCCCCCCACCACCATACTTCTCATTTATCAAGTAAGTCAGCCTCCTGCTACCCAAGAGCTGCAAGACTATCTAACAAAAACCCCATACAGTAACAGCTGGGGGAGACCTGCCTTCAAGTTGTTTTTAGAGGATTATAAGAGATCCCCCAAGCAATCCAGCCTACTGTTGCTGCCAGTGATTGTCGCCCAGATATTGAAGATCAAGTCCCTATTGCTGAAGACAACACATATTTTGGACAAAGGACTCAGCAAATTTGAGCTGGAGCTAACTCAAAAGCCTCCTCCCTGAGATGAACTTCCTTTCATATTACCAGATGCTACTCTGCAAACGGCTAAGGGAGCAGAGCAATCAGAAATCTTACCCAGCTGTGGTGACTGTGAACCACGATGACCAGAATGGCAGTTGTCTAACTAGACTCAAGCCTCCTTAGCAGGAGGGAAATCGTGCCAACTCCACAGCTAGCAAGGCAACAGATGTCACTTTCCTAAGCCAGCATAACCCCAACTGCATTCTATACGCTTACCTTTATATCCACCATAAGTATAGATTTCAGCAAGAGACCATACAGAAAGGTACAACTACTCAAAATGCAGAGAACAGCAGAATGAGTGATGCACTGTAGGGTGCCCAGCCACAGCTGGTTGAACTACAACACGGCTCTGGTTGTACAACAAAGTGCAGGGAACGTCACGAAAGGGGAAAGACTGCAAGGCAGAGGACCAGGAAGCCTATGGTGAGACTGCGCCCTCTATCAACAACATGGCTGCCCAAACAAGACCTGAATAATTCCAACAACAGCTGACCCCTGATATAGACAGAGGGAATCTCATGGGGCCCCATCCCCTAGAGAAAGAGCTACAGGTAACTAATGACTGCTGAACGATGGGGACTTAAGTCTTCCCCAGGGATGGGCCCCAGCTGGTTATCCGACAGTAAGTGGGCAGTTCTAGAAACAGATACACGCAGGCAACACTGAATGCGCTCAGAGGTTATAGTTTTACATACATTTATGTGCAACAATGATTAGAGAAGAGGAGGCCAATAAATTTGGGAGAGGTGGCCATACATAGGAGGGGCAGGAGGCAAATAATAACATTATATTTTAATTAAATTAGAAAAAGGTAAAATATAATTTTTGCCATTAGATACACTAGGATATGTTAGGTGCAAATGTTTAATTATTGTATTAAAATTGTATTAGTTCTAAAGAAACAAATAATCTTCATTTACCTATGGGTGGCTGATGACAGATTTTTCTTTTCTCACGAAACCCTACAGTAACTGGGACCGGAAGTATATTTTAGTATAGTGTATGTGCTTAGTATACAGCAGGCCAAGGGTTAACTCACAGACAATCTAAAAGGTCAGCACCCCCCCCACACCATATGGGGAGCAAAAAAATGTTCACAGCCAGTCTGGATCCAAATTATGATTTCTGATGCTTCAATGAAAAAGGAAATTCTTTCATATGAAAGAATCTAATGGTCTGCTGTTAAAGATGCAGCGACCAGCCGTTTTATATTAATGGCAATGGGTTTTATGCACACCTGCATGCTCTTACCTAGTTCCTTCATAACACAGCCCATGATTTCAAGTTCAAAAAATACCTGGCTGAACTGACAGACAACTCGCTAGAGAAGCTGTGCTGTTCTGTTTTCAGTGAATCCTGAATAACGCTGGAGAGAAGTGAGGGGTACAGCTACCCTCAGCCCTTGATATTAAACTCAACAATAAAGTAAAACCCTACCATTCACACCTATCCATCAGGCACAATGCTTCAGCATCTAGTGAGATTTAAAAATGATTCGGGTCTAAATTCCTCTAAATGGCAAGTTTTAATAAAAAAAAGAAAAAAAAACCAGTGTCAGAGCTGTAATACTGTGATAATATAGGTATTATAAAAATGTTTTCAGGATTCAAAACCTACAATTCTCAAAATGAAAGGAGGATTTGCATGGCCACTCGAGCAGGATAGCCGTAAGTAACCCACTAGCGGGCATTGAATAAGCACCGAGCCCGCGGTGGAAGGTGCAGCAAAGTGAGCAGAAAGCGCAGGTGCAATTTCATGGCAATTTAAACTGGTCACTTAAGATACGCGCGTGAATATGGATACAATTTGGGTATACATGCAGCACACTTAATAGCCATCAGGTAGGGACGGATGGAAAGGAGGGAAGTAGGCTCTTTTATCTAGAAAAATCATAGCAAATTTTAAACATAATATACCAGTGGACAATTTTGTACGGAACTACTGGAAAGACATTTACTCTTTTGAGAAAGCACAGAAAACTGGGTGGATTGCACATCACACTTGACGAGATTGAAGTCTGTGTCGGATGCACCCGTCACTATATTCATGCGTGCATTTCGGGTCTGTGATTCCATTACTTTATAGTTCAGTATGACAATTACTTCAGTGGGGTAGCTAATTAATTTTTGACATTCTATTTGGTTTTTCTTCCTTTTGTCCAGTTACCCTCAACCTTGGGATTTTTGACATTTTCCTTCTACCGTGTTTCTCTGAGACACAGTTTCACTATACAGTCCAGGGTGGTATAGAACTTGTCTGGTTCTTCCCGCCTCAGCTACCAAATGCTGAGTCCGCGTGGCTTATTCAGGCCTAAGACCTCACGCCTGGTTCATTCCTTTCCATTTTGATAATGCATATCACATCTCCAATTCTGCAAGGTTGGGTGGCTGTGCACTAGCGGGGGTGCACATGTGCATGCGGAGGAGGCCAGAGGTGAACATCAGGTATCTTCCTCTGTTCTGAGACTGATTCAGCTGGACCAGCTAGTCACTGAGCCCCAAGACCTCCCGCACTGGGATTATAGGCACACACTGCCACATCCATTTTTCATGTGGGTGCTGGGGATCTCAATCCATGCCCTCATGAATTTGCCAAGCACTTTACCAACAAGGTCATCTCGTCAGCACACACACACACACACACACACACACATACACACACACACACACACACACACACATATACACACTTTGAGACAGGGTCCAGACTGGCCTTGAGTTAAAGATGACACTGTTGGAATTAGGCAAGTATCACATGGTTTTATGTGGGACTAGGGATCGAACCTAGGGTCTTGTGCATGCAGGGAAAGAGTTTTATCAGCTAAGCCAAACTCCCTTCCCCTGGTCTTCATTGTTTTAAGGTTATCTGTTAATTTTCAGGTTCTTTAAAATACTTTGCCAGAAAAAGTATAAAATAATAAACCATTTGTTAAATGATTGACAAGTTGCAAATAATTCAACACTTCTTAATTAACATTTTACGTACACGCAACTGACTAGTAGAAAACAATGAATTTTAAAAAACATAGAGCAAGTAAGAAGCTTGGTTTTCACCCAGTTTCACAGAGAAGATAAATGAAAGCCACAAACAGTTTTCCCACTTATAAAATGAACATGCTGTCTGCTTCTGGTGGCTGCGTGTGGACACCCAGCAGAGGACCCTTGTCACGCCTGGAAGACAGGGCAGTGGCAGGTGTTGCTCTAACGCTGCTCTTGAGTTCCCTAACAGTCACAATAATGCCTGAAATAAAGATCTTCGGTGTGACGTGCTGTGGCATTTTTAACATACCTGCCACAGGGGGCTGGGGGCTGTTAAATATTTGTAAAATGTCAAACTAACATTGAAAAACTTTATAGGAAACCTTAAATTAGAAGACATTCTTTTAGATATTAAAGTACCCTAAGATAATAAATACCCTGAAAAGAAAGTTAAGTTGTTCCAAGAATATTCTGCCACAAACTATTTTGCCACACCAAATAGCTAACATAAGGTTAATTGATTTAATGAATATCTAAAGACAAATGCCAATCACTGATCTATCTCTCAGTAATTGCTTCCTGACTACTTATACACAAATTTTATATGGATTGGGCATGGTGGTCCAAGCCTTTAATCCCAACACGTGGGAGAAAGAGGCAGATGGATCTCTGTGAGGTCCAGGCTAGCCCAGTCTACAGACCTACTTGATGCTTAGATCCCAGTGGATGAACTGCTTGGGAAGGATTAGGAGGTGTGGCCCTGCTGGAGGAGATGTAGCATTTGGAGTGGGCACTGAGGTTTCAAAAGCCCACGCCAGTCCCAGTCTCTCTGTTTCCTACCTGAGGATTAGGATGTAAAGCTCAGACACTTCTTCAGCATCACACCTGCTTGCATGCCACCTCACTGCCCACCATGATCTGACCCCTCTGAAACGGTACACCAGTCCCCAGTTAAATGCTTTCTTCTATAAGAATTGCCTTGGTCGTGGTCTCTGCACAGCAACAGAACACTGACTGAGACACGTGGGCTGGGGAAATGGCTCTCTGGGAAAGCACTTGTTGCAAGCTTTGAGTTTGGATCCCCAGTACCCAAATTAAAGCCGGGGTGGCAGCTCACACCAGTAACCCCAGCTCTCAGGAGCTTTCTGGCCAGCCAGCCTAGCTAAAAGGGTAAGCTCCAGGTTCAATGAGAGACTTTGTCTGAAACAGCCAGGTGAAGAGCAACTGAGAAAGACATTAGACATCAAACCTCAGGCCTCCAACCGCACAACCATGGGTGAGCACACCTGAACACAGATGTGAGCATATATAAAGCCACACACAAGCAAAATAAGACAAAACATATAAACAAACAGAAATACTACTGTTAAAAATAATCAAGAGAAGTAGCAGTACGGCCAGGAGTGATGGCTCAGCACTCGGAAGACAGAGGCACACAGACCTCTGGGAGTTCCAAGATCAGTCTGGTCTATAGAGTGAATACTAGGCCAGTCAGAGATGTAGAGTGAAATCCTGGTTCAAATGGTTTTTTAAAAAGAAAAATGTGGGGGCTGGAGAGATGGCTCAGAGGTTAAGAGCACTGATTATTCTTCCAGAAGTCCTGAGTTCAATTCCCAGCAACCACATGGTGGCTCACAACCATCTGTAATGAAATCTGGTGCCCTCTTCTGGCCTGCAGGCATACATGTACACAGAACACTGAAAACAAAATAAATAAATAAGTAAAACTTTAAAAAAAATGTTTCTGAGGATTGGGAATCTGAACTTGACCCTCAAAAAGAATCAGTGTGTTCTCACAATGTTTTGCTACTTCACACATATCAAAAAATAGCTTACATTATCCTAATGCTGTTTTATTCAAACTATTTTTTTATTAAGTATAAGATTATATCTTCACAAAATTCACTTTTTCATTATTTAAATGCTAAAGTTACCTTTATGCTTATTCAGAAGCTTGTAGCCCTGACAGTATCTGCTTGATGACGTCATCATTGAAGCTGTGTCAATGTAAGAGTATGCTGCAGCAAAATCAAAGTCCTCCTGGCCATCCCACCAGCCTTTCTGCTTAGCATAGCTCCTCATGTCCGGATGCTCCCGGTCGATCTTGGTCGTTATGGAGAACTGATTGGAAATATTCCGAACTCCTGTTTCGAAAGATGAGAAGAAAAGTTACCTTTAACAGGAAGAATCTCCCTCTACATTATGATTTTTAAAGCGCTGTTTAAACTTAATGTAAGTTTTCTGCCACAGACATCTACTGCACAGTCTAAACAATTAAATTTTAATATTAAACTTGGAGGTCACTGTAGACTCAGATGCAGTTATGTGAAGTAATCCGGAGAGACTGTACACTCTGTGGTTCCAGTGCCACTCATTGCAGTTTATAAAAGTATAGAATCAGATCATAACCAGAACACTGGTATTGTTAATGTCAAGAAAAAGAATATTTATACCCTGTTACTCTTTCATATCAAAGCCATGAATCTCCTCATTCTAGTAATTCATTAACTCTGAGCACCTAGTACTTTTTTACTCTAGTATAACTCAATGTCACATATTATACAGGGGCTGGTAACGTAGTCCCGTGGTGAAGACACTTGCCACAAGCCTGACCATCTGAATTCAATCCCCAGAGCCCACATGCTCTAATTCTCAAAAGGTGACCTCTGACCTCCACACGTGTGCCATAGCACACATGTCCACATACACACAAATAGCATTTTTAAAGAATGTTACCTAAGTGGAATGTACAGTAAATAGCCTTATGGTTTTTGTTAATTATTAAAATTTTTTTTAAATGTACATTTGCTTTCTTGTGTGTATGTGCACAGAGGCACCCTTTACCCTGTGCTTTCTGGGGATCAAACTCAGGTTGTCAGGGCTGGCGGCAAGCACCCTTACTTGCTGGGCCATCTTGCTGCCCTGCCTTTTGGTCTTTCTACCTCACGATAATTCTACTCAACACACTATCAACAGCTCATCATTTCCTTATTACTGAGTAATATCTCACTGTATGGCGTATGACACTTTGTTTAGCAGTTCAACACATGCATATTCTACACAATGGCTCATGTAAAGTTGTGGGCGGCAGCCGTGTTTTTTACCCCAGAGTTTCTGTGGTGATACGGAAGCTAATATAGGAAAATCACCAGATCACATGGATCAGATAGCCAGGCATGCGCAGGAGCAGCAAACAATAGGGACCCTACCACAAGGGGACAGTGAGTCACCAGAGGTTGTCCTCTGACCTTCACTTGTACACAGTGGCCATGTGTACCCGCCCCATACACAAATAGACATGTACGCATATCTCACACACACACACACACACACACACACACACACACACACACACACAGAGAGAGAGAGAGAGAGAGAGAGAGAGAGAGAGAGAGAGAAATAAGAGGAATATTTGACCACAAATAAATCATGGGGGTGCAATCAGCTCCAAAGCCATCAGACTGTACTGATATAGTCAATGACATCAATTTTGTCTTACTGTTGTGTCCATACACTCTTTCTAAGCACTGGCCCAGAGTCACCCATGCCCAGACAAACCCCCTCCTCTTTACCTCTGTACTTACATATGGTACAGGTCTGGAATTCAGTCCAAAGTTAGAAAAGTAGTTGTTAAAAAGAGAAAAAAACGCTACAAATAGCCAAAAGCTGCTGCATAGACAATGTCACCTGCTTTTTTTTTTTGTAAGAATGCTCCTCGTAGTTCTCTTTCCCTTTATGTTCTTCCTAATTTTAACTTTGCTCTGCAGTTTATCCTTTAATGCAACAGATTACAAATCTTGAAAAGCAAATAAATGCTTTAGCTACAGTTAAAGATCTATTTTATTAATTATATAAACCAAATTGCAAATAGCTGTTCATACCTTGGACTTTTTCTGCTGCCCAGTACTTCCCTGAAGTCTCCAGAATCCAAGCTTCATTCCTATCCGCTATCAGGAAGCTGTTATAATAGCTAAGTTCTTCGCCCTCTGCACAATTTCCACCTTGGCCATGTTTTTCTAATAAGTTGACAATAACATCGAGCGCTTTCTCAGCTGTATCAGCTCTTTCAAGGCCAAGTCTAAAATAAAAATATTAAGGATCTCAAATTAAAAATAATATCCTTCACTCATCTTAACTTCATGATCAAGAAACACCATGTTTGCTACTCTCAAACTAAAAAAAAAAAGAAAAAAAAAAGAACAAGTTAATAGGTAAAATAAAACCTTTAAAGTCCTACTTCTGAAGGCAGTTTGGGAGAATGAAAACATTTTTGGAGTCAACTTTCATTTTGGTAACTTATTACAAAGTTATTTTATGTCTAAGACTGATATGTCTCTTTATAAAGTGAAGGAATTAGTCAACCATGTAATAAAGCAATTCAGGCATTTCTGATGAATTATAACTTCTAATTTTGGCTCCTCACCAATTTATGATGTGCATAGGCATGCATAAGTGTCAGCAGGTGTTCATGTAGTGTATATACATGTTTATGTGGGTGTGTGCCTAGGGTATGCACTCATGCAAGCATGCACTGAGAAGCCAGAGGTTGGTGTCCGACAGCTTTCTCAATTGCATTCCACCTTATTTTACGAGGCAAGGTTTCTCAGTGAACTGGAATTTACCAATTAAGCTAGACTAGTGACCGAGCAAGCGCAGGAATCTGCCTGCTTCTGCTTCTCCAGTGTAGGATTACAGGTGCACATGAGTGGTGGAGATCAAACTGAGGTCCTCACGCTTCTTCAGTAAACAGTGTATGGATTGAGCCATCTACCCTAGATGAATTAATGATTATTTAAGTCACGGAATTGCATGCTGGTGTGAAAATAGATGCTGACTGGTATTCAGCTATTTCTTACATAATCTGTTGCTGTGGATATTGTAAAGATTTGTCAATCATATTGGTTTAATAAAATGCTGATTGGCCAGTAGCCAGGAGGGAAGTATAGGAGGGGCAACCAGACAAGGAGAATTCTGGGAAGAGGAAAGGCAGAGAGTCAGTCACCAACCAGATGCAGAGAAAGCAAGAATGCTGCACTGAGAAAAGGTAACAAGCTAAACATAGACAAGAATTATGGGTTAATTTAAATTGTAAGAGCTAGCTAATAATAAGCCTGAGCTACTAAGCCAAACAGCTTGTAATTAATATAAGCCTCTGTGTGTTTCTTTGGGACTGAACAGCTGGAGGGCTGGGCAGGACAGAAACTGCATTCTGTAGTAAGGAAGCAGCATACTAGTTACCTGACAAGGTCCATGCCCAAAAGTGCTTCCTCCTTAGAAATTGCCTCTCTTCCCCATACAGCTTCATTCCCAATGCAGACTCCATGCTCATTGGCTCCCATTTCTGCCCCCCACAACCAAGCTGGGCGACTAAGGATAACAGCATATGTTTCAGAAACTTGATCAATTTCTATGTAAGTACACTGTAAAAAAAAAAAAAAGTCATGTAACTATGAAACCCAAAGTGGAGAGTTAACAAATTCCAGAATTTAAAATATCATTGGGAAGACATGATCACGATGAAGGTAGATGAAATGAAACCAAATTGAAATTTTCAATAATAAAAGCACTAACTTTAAAACTCATTCAGAATTGACTCTAAAGCATTTATTGTTTAAATACTTTCTGAGTATGTCCTTTATAATACATCCTGCTAAGGCGAGCCAGTTACAAAGATACAGGAATACGAAGCTTCATTTAAGAAACTCTCCATCAACTAAGATCAAGCAAATCCTAAGTATGAAGGGCAGGAAGAGAATGAGCAGCGTTGTCCTGGTAGCTTAGAAGTGATGGTTATTAATCTTCAATCTGTTTCATGGAGAGGAATTAAGATGAGTTGAAGATTAAGAAAGCAGCTCTCAAGTTTAACGTCTGGTATGTCCTGACCGGTGATCTACACACTCCTAGGTACCTGAGACCCTTGGGCAGGTGAGGATGACTGCCACAGAGGCCCACGTGTCGTGTGGAAGAGACCCAGGAGGGGAGGACTCTTCACAGCAGTGGGAAGCTGACTGACACGACAGGCTAGATTTAAACACGCCTGTATGGAATGGGAACGATGTCCCAGGGGAACCAACACTTGCAGCAAAAGAAAACTACAGCCTAATATACAAAAAGTTTTATATTTAAGGCTTAATAGTGCTAGAACATCAAGAATCCAGAAAGTTCATGACAATAGAAGATAATACAAACCTTTGAGTTCCACGTAAATAGACTGTTTAAATAAAAAACTTAAAGGCAGTTTTATTTAATGTGCACGTAGGAGGTGAGGGAAATACATAAAATGTATATTGATGATATTATCAGACACCTAATAAACTTTTTTTGAGGGACTACAAAACACATTTATAGGGCTGAGAATGTGGCTCAATTGGCAGGTTATGTGCCTAACATACAAGAGGCCCTTGGTTTGATCCTCAGCACCATAGGACAAAAACAGAAAACCTGTTATTTATAAAACCTGAAATATTTTTTTTCTTATTCTATACCAAGAAGAATCCTTTTGATCTGTCAGTGGAAGCCCCAGCTCTAACTAAATCATTCTCTTTTTTATTTATTTTGTTTTATGAATGTTTGCTTGAATGCATTTTATGCATATGTGTGCATGTTGCCCACTGAGGTCAGAAGAGAGCATCAGATACTATGAAACTGGAGCTATGTTAGGGATGGCTGTGACCCACCATGTGGGTGCTGGGAATCAAACCCGGGTCCTCTGCAAGAACAGCAAGTGCTCTTAACCACTGAACCAACACGCCAGTCCCATTCTTTAAGCCCTAATTGAATCTAGATGTTCCCTCTCTGCTGCCACAGCCTGCTACTCTTCCCTACGGCCAGCGTTTAAGCCGCCCTACTTTACTGTGCTCTTAGGGCACCCACCATCCACTCACCGCTCTCAGCCTACGGTCGCGTCCAGGTTTTAATAGCTGACTTGAAATCCCTCATCACAACCAACACAGAGAACATATAGAAAGCATTCAGGTATTTAATCAGAGAGATAACGATATTTATTATTTTAGCAGCGCCTTCTAAATTATTGAAATAAGAGACCAGAAGTCTATTTTCGATTCAAACCATTTCTAAACTTAAATTCTTGAATTTCAACTTCAGTGGTCGCTAGGGAGAGAAGGAACCGTTAACGGGTCTGGAGAAAAGGCTCAGGGGTGAAGAGCACCTGCCGTTCTTGTGGAGAACCAGGGCTCAGTTCCTGGCACCCACGGGGCATCTCACAGCTCCCCAGAGTTACAAGGGATCCCACACCCTCTTCTGACCTCTATGGGCACTAGGCACACCTGTGGTGCAAAAACATACATACAGGTAAAGTATTCATACACATAAAATAAAATAAATTTTTTAAAAGAAATCTTCAGTATTTATATGTTTAAAGATAGATATTGCTAACACAGCATATATTTTTTTAAATATTTATTTTTATTATGTATACAGTGTTCTGTCTGTCTGTGTATATGCCTGCAGGCCAGAAGAGGGCACCAGGCCTCATTACAGATGGTTGTGAGCTACCATGTGGTTGCTGAGAATTGAACTCAGGACCTTTGGAAGGGCAGGCGATGCTCTTAACCACTGAGCCATTTCTCCAGCCCCCACAGCATATATTTTTACCTACCTTAAGACGCTTTCTTAAATCATTGTGCACTGCAGCTGGGAAGTAAACTACTTCTTGTACTTCATCGAAGAGTCTGTCTGAATTTTTCCCAAAAATAACCCTGTTACCAACTGTGGCTGGAGGTAATGCCACAAAAGTGTCACAGGAATGGGGCTCCATTTCTTTAAGAAAAAAAGGATATAGAAGTTTTCAAATAAAAAGAGCAAACATTTTTAAGCACACACAAAGCAAAGAGCTTTTCTCTACGGCCAAGGGATATACCAAAGAAGGGTACATAGTAAAGTTTTCAATATCATATTATTTTTGTGCATTCCAGGGCAGCCAGGGTTACATATTAAGACCTGTCTTAAAGAAATAACGGACTATAAAAATTAGAATATGATTTAGTAATTAACCATGTGCTACTACAATACAATGGCAACAAGAACCACTTTCTCCAAGTGCACAGGTCAAATGTTTTTAGAGGTTTCTTCTGCAAACCTCTCTCCTGAATTTTTCCAGTTCTTTTTACTCTGCTCATAGCTACTACATGTGCCTTAGTCTGCGGTATCAGTGTTTGCACAAGGCCCTTTACTAGACGGGGAGATCCGAGGATGTCGTGTGAATCTACGGGAAATCATGTAAGGCTGGGCATAGTGGGGCACACACCTTTAATCCTAGCACTTGGGAGGCAGAAGCAGGAGGATCTCTGTGAGTTTGAGGTCAGCCTGGTCTACCAAGTGAGTTCCAGGACAGCCAGGGATGTTACACAGAGAAAACCCATCTGGAAAACCCAGAAAACAGACAAACAAATAAAGAAAATCACTACTGTTAAGGTTTCCGGGTGGAAGCTCATAGCAGTGATTTATAAATTCCAGTTGTGGAACTGACGCACAAATTGTCTTCATTTGTGATGGGAAAAATCTTAAATCCTCACTTTTAGAACAATTCAAGATCTCACATTTTCATTTTGCTTTCAAAACATAGTTTTAGTTTCCTCTCATTTTAAATTTCTTAAGATTTGTCTTTACTATTCATGTGTATGGATCATGTGTCTGTCTGCCGTTAAGTATGGGGGTGCCCAAGAATGTCAGAAATGGGCCTCAAGCCTTCTGAAGCTGGAGTTAGGAAGCATCTCGAGCCTGTGTTGGGAACTGAACTCAGATCTTCAGGAAAAGCGGAGAGCTATCTTAACCACTGAGCTACCTTTCCAGCCCAGTTTCCTTCTTTTATAAGAACCAAATCTTAGCATAGTTTTATACACGAGCATTCTAACCACTTTAAAACAGAATAAAAATATAATAAATATAAATAAAATAAATATGAATTTAATAAATGTTTTATTGAAAGGAAAACGAAGCAAGGTATGGTAGCACACCAATAATCTTAGCACTGGGCAGGATCAGCTAGCGTTTAAAGCTAGCCTGTGAAACCCCGCTTCAAAACAAGCAAAATGACTCAAGAAACAAGTTCGCCATGGAACACACCTTAAATAAAGGTTGTTCTGTTCTCAAAGATGGGAAGAAGTGAGCACTGCTTTTCTCGTGTCTCCTCTCTGCAAGTTTTGATCTCCTACCTACAGTGCTCCAAAGTTAGCTAGCCCAATACGTAACTTAGGCAATTAATTCTCTTCCTCTTTTCTTCCAGGTTCATCAGTAAAATAAAATAAAACACCATGTAGTACTGCTATTTTAAGGCTTGATTCAGTATGACCCAGAAGGTGAAAGTTCAGCTAGGAGGTGCATGCCTGTAATTGAAGTTTGAGATGGTCCGTGTCACAAACAAAACAGTTCAAAAACCTGCAACTCACTAGACCCTCAAACGAAAGCTGTCGCCTGTTTTAAGCTGGCTTATTCTTATCTTTGTTAGAGGCCAGTGGACTAACAGCCATACCCACACCAAACCCTAGGATGAACAAATCCAAGTGAGTGACGCACTAACTGGGATAGCGGCACCAACTAAGTAAACAGCACCGGGGAGGAAAGCCCTTGGCCCTAATGTGTTGTCATCATTCACGGTGTTTGTTGACTATCTTTCTGCATAGCTGGAAATAACCGAAAGAAGCCGCGTATAGCGGCTCACACCGTTATTCGCAGCTCTCGGGGGGCAAAGGAAAGATCTGTGAATTCAAGGACAGCCAACGCTAGAGAGATTCTGTACATAACAACTGGAAGGGAAGAGCCTCGGTCTCTAACAGTCTATCCCAGTGCTTGCGACAACACCAATCTTTCGGGTCTCACAAAAGTCCTACAGCTCGAGGTTTACTGTCTCCATTAACTACATGAAAACTGCGCTGCAAAAACAAACAAGCAACAAAAAAGGTTTTGCAACTGGAGCCGGCGTTGTCAGAAGGTGCTGGGCTCGAATTTCAGGACCTCGCCCGCTCCACAAGCCCGCGCTCGGAGCGAGTCCGGCGCAGCAGAGCCCACGGCTGCCCGGGACCCCGCCGCCAGCGAACGGCGCGTAGAGCCGGCACCAGAGCTTACCTCCGCTGCGCAAGCGCGGACGCCGAGCACGCTCCCGCAGCCACCAAAGCAATCACCGGAAACGGAGGGGCGGGACCAGGACTAATAATCGGAAGTAGTCTCTTTCGACCTCGGACGTTCTCACCCAGGCTCGCCTTACAGTTCCGGTGACGCTCCCGGAGTTTGTTTACGTCCCTCGCAGACCTAGCGGCTGAGTAGTTCTGCGACTCGTACTCCAAGATGGGGAAGTCGTTCGCTAATTTCATGTGCAAAAAGGACTTTCATCCGGCGTCCAAATCCAACATCAAGAAGGTGAGTAAAGGGATCCGGAAAGGGCAGCGATGTGCCTAGCTCCCTGAAACGGTCGTGTCCTCTGCGGGCCTGGAGACCTCGTCGCTTTCTCCATGCCTACCCGACAGACCGGATGGTCCCCCAAGTCCGGCCCTGTCGGTCACTGTGGAGACTGACGCCGTAGCTCATTGCGAGTCCGTCTCCTAGAGCTCCAAGACCAAGACCCGGGAGCGCTGCTTCCCTGAGTGGAGACTCGGTCCTTAACAGAGCTTCCCAGAGAAAGCCACCTGTTTTCACTCTCCTTCCCACATCTCCATCCAGTAGTGTGGCATCCGATGGCTGCATTCAAGTTCAAGCGTTTTTTTTTTTGTTTTTTTTTTTTTTTTTAAATTACAGTACTGGACACAGGACCGAATTATAGCGCGAAAGAATGGCAACGGAGAGAGTCAGACCGGACTTCTTGTTAGTTCAGTACAGTCACATTTAGCCCCAAAGCCTCGCAGACAATGTATAATGGCGTGATCGTTAGCCTCCTACTCTGCTAATTAAGGATGATAATATCAGTTGCCTTAATGTGTAAAATTGTTAGGAAGATTAAATGGGATAGTGTGGGAAAAGAATAGAAACGGGGAGCCGGGCATTGGTGGCGCACGCCTTTGATCCCAGCACTCGGGATGCAGAGGCAGGCGGATCTCTGTGAATTCGAGGCCATACTTTTCTGCATCACGAAAAGTACTCAGAAGTACACAGGCTTGTGAAAATATATTAAGCTTTTAGTTGTTTCTAAGCCAGTTATGGATCCTGTGTGTTGTCATGCATATGAAGAATATTATGTGTATATGAGCATATGTATACATTAGAATATCTGTGGAAGAAAATACAAGTAGTGCTAACACCGTTTATCTGCGAATATAGTTACTTAATTTTTTTTTTCCGAGGCAGGGTTTTTCTGTGTAGACCTGGCTGCCCTCGAGCTTCCAGAGATTCATCTGTCTCTGCCTCCCAAGTGCTACGATTAATGACTTGTTACATAATTTTAAGCCACTCCCTCCCCAAACCGACTTGCTTGGTCTTTCCATCTCTGCCTTATTCCTTGACCCCTCCAAAGTCTTGTTCTGTTTATTTTGTACGTACTCTCCATGTCTTTTACACATTTCATGGAGTCTCTTGTAGTCTAGGCTGGCTTCAAACTTACTCTCCAGGGAGGATGGCCCTGAATTCCTGATCCTCCTGTCTCTGCCTCCCAGATGCTGAAATTGCAGGTGTAAGCCACTGCATTTGACCCTTAGTTCTCCCTTTTAAGTCATGAAATACTTTATAATAGTCACGAAATAGTTTATGATATGTAGAAGAATCGTTGTAAGCTCTTCAGCAATGGACCTACGTTTTACTTTTATCTCAGTTCTTGCTCCATTGAGACTAGTTAACTGTAAAATCTGAAGCTTGACATACATGGTAATTTTTCTGGTTGCGGGTTGCGGAGGGGGGGGACGACTTGTTTTTGGACAGGGTCTCCCTGTGTAGCTCTGAATGACCTGGAACACTTAGTACCCCTACCTCAGCCTCCTGAGTTCTGGGATTGCAGACGGGAGCCAGCATGCCTGGCTAACCAGGTGTGGTTGATTATAGAAGACAGCCAGCTTCCAGGGCTGTCAGGATGACTTAGTAGATAAAGCACTTGATACATGAGTGTGAGGGCAGAGTTTGGATCCCCAGCACCTACATGAAAGCCAGGTTGCCATGGTGGCCCGTTTGTGATCCTCGCCCCCAGGGGATGAAGACAAGATCCTCCACGCAAGTTGGTAGACTAGCGCAGTTGAACTCTGGGTTCGACGAGAGACCCTGCCTCAGTAAGAAAGTGACTGAAGAAGACAGTGTGTTTTAAACCCTTGACTCCATACTCACATGCATGTACCACACACATGCATACATGCATGTATGTACACATGAAGCAGACTGTTTAATCCAGTTGTTAAATTATATTTTGTTTCACTGTTGTAGGTATGGATGGCAGAGCAGAAAATATCATATGATAAAAAGAAACAAGAAGAACTAATGCAACAGTACCTTAAAGAGCAGGAGTCATATGATAACAGGTAAGCACCACCTCATTAGTGCTTTTAGAAGAATCAGTGTTGAGTCAGCTTCTCTCCCATAGTTACTCATGGTCACCTTTCCCGTCTTCAGCTATTCTTCACCTAAAGTACAGTTTCATTTGACTCATCCAGACTGTGAACAAGTTCTAACTAAGGCAGAGCTTGCAGACATAATAAACCCTGCATGTTAACTACTGATAGCAACCAGAAAGGTTCCTCTTCAATACATTGAAATGAGAGCTGCCAGGACTCTTAGAGGAGAAGCCGGGTGTCTTTGGCCTGTGCGTGACGGCTGGCGTCCATTTGCTTCTTTGAGGATAATACCTGCCTTTTAATTGCTTTCACTGTGTTTGTATTTGGTTAATGAGCTGAGTAGTGGTGTTTTGGTTAAAGACTGTACTCTGAAGAAGCATTTATTTTTGAAACTTTTATATTTGAAACTTGAGACATTCATCAGTTTATGGATAATTGGATCATGCTGTTAACATTGGCATAGTGGTATCTGTTCAAGGCTGTTTTCATCTGCTTTGTTTATGTGCTTAGGAGCAGAATTGTTAGATCTTACAGTAATTCTTTGGTTAGCCTTTTAAAGAGCCACCAAACTTTTCCATAGCCTAAGCTGGTCTTGAACTTCCTTCCTATGAAGTTGAGGATGACCTAAAACTCCTTGGTTCTCCTGCCTTGAATTCCCGAGTGCTAGCCTGTGCTACTATACCTGGTGTATACAATGTTAGGAATCAAACCCAGAGCTTTCTGTGTGCCAGGCCAGCCCTCTACCAGCTGTGTTACATCTCGGCTCACGATTAGTAACCATTCTCATGAGTGTGAAGCAGTAGCCCGTGCAGTTTTGGTTTGTTATTTCTCGATGTCTAGTGAAGCTCAGCTTTTCATGTACTTGATTTACAGTACATTTTTAAATGGTGTTAAGACAAAATTTACAGATCTGTTTAAAATATACCGAGGTTTTTAAGTTTGTTTAGTGTTGCTAAGCCATAACCATAGCGAATTTCAAAACATTCATCACCTGAAAAGAAAATGTTGTGTTCGTTAGTAATCATTTCCCATTTCCTAATTAGCCCATTTCTGCTTCTCACAAGTCATGACCATTTTATGTCTACCTATGAATTTTTGAGAATTATGGACACAAAGGGTAGATGATTAAATGGTCTTTTGTGATTGGTTAACTTTTTAATTTTAACAAAAATATATTGATTTATTTGTGTGTATGTATATTATATATGTATGTATATACATATATATGTGTGTGTATATATGTCGGGAGCATATGAGGACCTTGGTGCACATGTGGAAGTTAGAGGCCTGCTTGGTGGGAGGCAATGCCCCCTTCTCACTGTGTCGGGCCCAGGATTGAACTCAGGTCAGCAAGCTTGGGTGATGGCAACTTAGGCCACTGGTCTGTGTTAACTGGTCCCTGATTTCTTTCACTTAGCCTGTTTTTGAAGGTCATCCACCATATATATTAGTACACATTCCTTTTACTTAAAGAATAATGTTCCACAATAAAGATATATATTTATATGTCCTTGTGGTTTTTGTTTTCTTTTGGGAGGCAGGGAATATAGAATCCAATAGGGGAAAATGGAGAATGACATAGAATAGCGTAGCATATCCTCTGTGATTGCCTTTTCCAAATACAAAGACAGTTCATACTACACTTTAGCTCTTTCTAATACTTAACTTGGGTTTTATAGACTTAACTTTAACTCAACGTAGCCATACTGTTTGTTGTGGTCCTTTACCCAAGAAGACCAGTGGCGGCACACTGTGCACAGAACCTACAGCAGGAAGTTTCAGTTACTACCTAAGATTTTTTTTGAGGAGTAGTCATTTCTGACTTTAGTGTATTAGCCTATTATAAAATTTTGTTATTTTTTTTTCTTTATTCTCATTAAAAAATTTGGTTCTCCGAACTGGGAAGTTAGCTCAGTGTGTAAAGTATTTGTCATGAAGGTAAGAGGACCTAGTTTGGATTCCAAGCCCCCACATAAAAAGCTTTCCTGTGATCCCAGTGCTCCAGAGATAGAAACAGGAAGATCTCTGGGCTTATTATGGTTAGCTATTGTAGTTCAATCAGTGAACCCCAGGTTTAGTGAGAGAACTTGTCTAAAAAGTAAGGAGGAGGGTTGGCCGGATGAATGAAGGTGAATGCAATCCCTAAGACTCACATAGAAGGTAGAAAACTGCAGGGAGTTGTCCTTTGGCCTTCATGTGCATGCAGACAGGCTTCTATACACATCACACACCATAATTAAACATAAGGTGAATGTTTGAGAAAAACACGCTGCTTCAGCTTCTGGCCTCTACGTATGTGCACTCTTTCTCTCTCGCGCTCTCTCTCCCTCTCTCTCTCTTGCTCTCTTGCTCGCTCGCTTGCACACACACACACAATTAAAAACATTAAAATAGGGGCTGGAGAGATGGCTCAGTGGTTAAGAGCACTGACTGCTTTTCCAGAGGACCGGGGTTCAATTCCCAGCACCCACATGGCAGCTCACAACTGTCTGAAGATCCAGTTGCAGGGGATCTAACACCTTCACACCAATGTACATAAAATAAAGTTAAATAAACCGTAAGAAGTATTTTTTAAAAAAAAACAAAACATTAAAATAGCTGGTGATGGTGGCCCGCGCCTTTAATCCCAGCTCTTGAGAGGCAGAAGCAGGCGGATCTCTGAGTTTGAGACCAGACTGATCTACAGAGCAAGTTCTAAGACAGCCAGGGCTACACAGAGAAACCCTGCCTGGAAAAACCTAGAAGAAAAGATCTGAATTTATTTTAAAAAGAAAAGGTTGTGGCACCAAAGTGCCTGGTAGCACACAGGATTTCAGAAGTGACGGTTTGAGCAGGCATCTCACAGGTTTCTAAGACAACTCTGTAAGAGTGACCATATCATCTGTTTTCCTCTCTTATTGGGAGAACAGGGGGAAGAAATTACAAGTTTCTATTTCTAATAAGGCAGCACTTTTTTGGCTTTATGTCTAATAAAGATATCTAAATTCCTTTAGGATTATTCTTTGAGAGCTGGTATGCTATCACGTCATCCTTTTATTTAACATTGGCTGTTATTTCATTTAGATTGCTTATGGGAGATGAGCGTGTGAAGAACGGCCTGAATTTCATGTATGAGGCCCCACCAGGAGTTAAAAAAGGTACTTGTCTCATTTCCGTTCAGCTTGATGTGGTTATGTATGAAGGTTGGGAAGAGCAGACAGTATTAAAGGTTATCTTCAGCTTTTCCTTCGCTGTTACTCTGATGATATTTGCTCAAATGCTGTCATCAACACAGGAGAATATAAACAAAATATTTTTCTAATGTAGTAGCTTATGTCCTTTGGGGGAGGGGGATGCTTAATATTGTGGAAGTACATTTATTCTTTTATAATGTGCACGTATCTGTAGTCCTCACTAAATAAAATTTCAAATGGAAAGTCTATTCACTGCCAGTGAGAAGCATAAAGACTTAAAAATTACAAGTTAACATACCTATTCTGAACTCTAGTGCAAGGTTGTATTTTATCCCTCAGTGATCTGGAATTTTATTTTATGATAAAAGAAAACCAGTTAATTCTTACAGGTTACAGTTAAATAATACAGCGTAATAATAAGTAGACTTTCCCACTGGCACTGCTAACTTGTCCTGCTTCCCCCTGTGCTGTGAATATGCAATCAAGAAAACAAAGAGGTGAGTGCTCTTCTCTGTTTGAACTGACTTATGGTTGATGGTGATTTTATGGGAAATTCAAGAATTTCTCCTGCCTCTTGTAGAAGGAAGAAACAGAAGGAGAGACAGAATACAAGTTTGAATGGCAGAAAGGTGCTCCGAGAGAAAAGTGAGTGCTGGCTTATTACACTGAGAAAGTGTGTTTCATTGTCTGCTGTCCTTCTCGCCCCTTGATTCATTGACCAGGGCAAGTAACTACTGTGACTTACCTCAGACAACCAGAATGCCTCATTTTAGCCTGGACTTATGAACTTGTTCACTTTTTAAAACTGTACATCTCAACCTGTAAATCACAACCTCCAAAAGACTATGGAAAACACATGTGTTTACATTAGGACTCATAACAGTAGCAAAATTACAGTTATAAAGTAGCAACTAAGAAAGTCTTATGGTTGGGGTCACTACAACATGAGAAACTGTATTAAAGGGTTGCAGTGTTAGGATGGTTGAGAACCACTGCTGTATACAATTAAAAATTGATGCTGGTAGTAGTAATGCATTTTATAATGTTTTAAGAATGATAAATTTTTTTTCAAGTTAACTGCCATTGAATTTATTAAGTTGTTCTTAATATTATAGTCTTAACATTTTTTTTTTTTGTATTTAACAGATATGCCAAAGATGACATGAACATCAGAGATCAGCCTTTTGGTATCCAGGCAAGTGACACATATTTTGCTCTTTAAGAATAGTTTTTATATAGTACATATAGCTTTAAATTATTTTCCAAAAGAAGTTTGTATTAGAGTTCTGTAAAGGAACGGAGCTGATAGGATGAATACATGCTAGCCTAGAGGATGTGGTTCAGGTATAGGACGAATACATGCTAGCCTAGAGGATGTGGTTCAGGTATAGGATGAATACATGCTAGCCTAGAGGATGTGGTTCAGGTATAGGATGAATACATGCTAGCCTAGAGGATGTGGTTCAGGTATAGGATGAATACATGCTAGCCTAGAGGATGTGTTTCAGGTATAGGATGAATATATGCTAGCCTAGAGGATGTGTTTAGGTATAGGATGAATATATGCTAGCTAGAGGATGTGGTTTAGGTAGTTCAACAGTGGCTGTCTCACGGTAGAAAGGCTGAGAACCCAGTAACTGTTCAGTCCACGAAGCTGGTTCTCTGGAGTCCTGGAGGATTCCTGTGAAGCTGCTGCTCTTCAGTCTGCATTAGATTCTTAGAGTCCAGTAGGATGTAATACAAGCAGCCACAGGATAGACAGAGGGACGTGAACTTGCCAGTGAGAAAGAACAAGCACACAAAAGCAAAGCTTTCGAGTTCCATTTATGTGGGCTGTCGCCAGGAGGTGTGGCCAGATTTCATAACTTGATCAAGAAAATCCCTCACAGAATGTCTTAGGTAGGGTTTTATTGCTGTGAAGAGATGTCATAACCATGGCAACTCTTATAAAGAAAAATATTTCATTGGGGTTGGCTTAGAGGTCAGAGGTTTAGCCCATTATCATCCTGGCGGGAAGTACAGTGGCGCATGGGCAGACCTGGTGCTGGGGAAGACACTGGGAGTTCTACATCTGGATCACCAGGCATCAGGAGGAGACAGAGAGCCACACTGGGCTAGAATGAGCATCTTAACAGCTCCGTGCCCACCCCAGTGCACACACTTCCTCCAGTGCCACCTGCTGCAGCATGGCCACACCTCCAAATAGCACCACTCCTCTGAGCCTGTCGGGGCCACTTTCTTTAAAACCACTACACAGGAGTAGCAACTTGAGTTCTAGTTGATTCCAGCTGAAATTAGCGTTGCAGTGTTTAAAACAACTTCGATGGAAGGAGAGAGTCAAGTTTTCTAGTGAGGGTGGTGGTCACTACGGTTTTCTAATAATTTAGAAAATGTTCCTGAATTAGAAACCATCAACTGTCACTCCAGAGCTGACCCTTGTGAAAAACTTGCCTGGTCACTGCATTGTCTCTGGCAGCTCTCCCGGCACATCCCTGTCACGACAGCAGACACAAACATCAAATAAAACCTTAAAATATTCTTTTTACCTCACAGACTAAGTTCACTAACCCCTGGTTTAGAAATGTGAAACTTGAGGCAGGGCTAGGGAGAGCTCGGTGAAAAGCGCTCTCACGGTGTGTTGTGAGAGCCTGGCTGCAGTCGGGAGAAGAGTGGCTGGTGTGGTGGCGTAGGCCTGGGTGTCAGTGTGTGGACGGTGGAGGCAGGGCAAGGCCCTACATAGAAAGGGGTGGGGTTGTTAGGTTAATGTGTTAAAATTAGGGAACCTAAAATTAAACCATGACATAATTCTTCGATATTTTACTATTTCTTTTCGGATGACATTGCTTTATTGTAGGCAGCACAGATAGGATTCGCTTTGGATTTTAGGCAAATTTATAGTAGAAGGGCTTAGTATTTGTATTGACTTACCCACCATAACTGTAGAATCTCTTTCCCTGGCGATTATTTTACAAAGGAACTTAGCCAAGTATGGTGATATATGTTTTAATACTAGCCCTCTGGAAGCAGAAGCAGGTGGATCTTTGTGAGTTCAAGGCCAACCTGATCTATATAGCAAGTTCCAGACTAACCAAGGCTATAGTGAGGTCCTGTCTCAAAAAAAGAAAGAAAAGAAGACAAAAAGAAAAAAGAGGGCAGGACCTAAATAAAAATGCTGAGTTGAATGTTAGGCTCTTGACATTTGAGAATCAAAATAATGTTTATTTCTCAGGTTCGAAATGTAAGGTGTATTAAATGTCACAAGTGGGGTCATGTGAACACAGATCGAGAATGTCCCTTGTTTGGTCTTTCTGGAATCAATGCAAGTTCAGTTCCTACTGATGGCTCAGGTAAGCAAAGACAACATTTTATCAAACAAGGAAAGATAAAGTAACATTTTTCTTTAAACTGAACTCTTTTGCTGCACTTGAATTCAGCTTTTGTGGACTAAGATGCATTCCCAAAGTGGATAATAGAGCTAGTGGTGTCTCAGTAGGAGAGCGCCTTGCGTGCCAAGTGCGTGTGAGGCCCTGGATTCAGTCTCTAGCACCCTCCTTTCTCTCTGCCTTATCACCAAAAAGGTGATAAGTGTTAAATTTGAATGTACTAAAATAGAGTTTAACTTTTCTAGTCAAGTTTCTGTGAATTTTTTAAATTCATTTTTTGTTTTGTTTTGCTTGTTTAAAACAAGGTCTCATAAAGCCAAACTGGTTCCAAACTCGCTGTGCAGCCATAGATGACCTTGAACTCCTGATCATCGTCCCTACCTCTAGAGTGCTAAGATTATAGCTGTGTGGGGTCAGGGTCTGACTGTGTAGGCCAGGCTGACCTGGAACACACTGTGTCCCAGAGACCCGCCTGCCTCTGCCTCCTGAGTGCTGGGATTCAAAGTGTGAGCCACCACTGCCCTTCCTAAAGCATTTTTATTACATGTGTGTACATAGTTCATCTCCTATGAAGATGGCTAAGGAAATCAAAAGAGTATCAGGTCACCTGGAGCTGGAGTCACAGGTGGTTGTGACATGGATGCTGGAAACCAAATGGGTCCTCTGGAAGGACAGCAAGTACTCTTAACTACTGAGTTTCTAGCCTGAAATTAGGAGAAGAAATGGTATGTGTGTGCATGTGTTAATAATTCATGTGTATGTACACATTTATGTATATGAATGCAAATATGTGAATATCAGAGGAAATACATGTCAGGGTGTACATGAGGGAGCCAGAGGATAGCTGGTGTCATCCAGTCCTTGCCTTCCCCCTTGTTTGAGACAAGTTATCCTTGCTGTTAGATGCCGCATTATTCCAGGATCACTAGCCCATGAGCTTCCTAGTGGTCTCCTGTCTCCACTTCTGTCTTGTAGGAGAGCTAGTGTCTTAGTTACTTTTCTGTTGCTGTGAAGAGGCTCCATGACCAAGGGAACTTATAGAAGAAAAAGTTTATTTGGGTGTACAATTTCAGAGGATTAGTCTGGCCGTTACAGCAAGGAGCATGGTAGCAGGCAGGCAGGACTGCATAGTGTCAAGGCAGTAGCTGAGAGCTTACAGCCTGGTCTGCAAGTAGACAGAGAGAAAGGAGTCAGAGAGAAAACTAACAAGAAATGGGGTAGACTTTTGAAACCTCAAAACCCATCCCCTTGACACTCCAACAACACCACACCTCGTAATCCTTCCCAAACAATACCAATTGCGGACCTAGTATTTAAATATATGAGCCTATGGGGCTTTTCTCATTCAGACCACCACAGCTAGGGTCATAGATAACTGCTGCTGCACCTGAGGATCCGGGTGCTGAACCTCGTACCTGCACAGGAAACATTGTTCTCCCCAGCCTAAGAAGTGGGTCTTTTTTTTTTCTATCTCTAAAAATTCATTTCTTTTATGTTTACGGGTATTTTGCCTGCATGTGTATCTGTACAGCATGTGCGTGCAGTGCCTGCAGAGTCCAGAAGAGGGCATCAGATCCTCTGGAACTGGAGTTACAAACAGTTGTGAGCTGCCATGTGAGTGCTGAGAATTAAACCAGGCTCCTCTGGAAGAGCAACCAGTGCTCTTAACCACTGAACCATCTTTCTAGTCCCAAGACATGGTTCTTAAGTTTAGATCTTCTGAACGTGAAAACTAGGCTGGGCCGAAAACCTCATTTCTCTTTAGTTGAGAGATGAAACCTTAAAACTGAGTTTTAAATATAAAAGACGTTAAACATGGTAAGTGTCTTAGGGTTTCTGTTGCTGTGAAGAGACACCATGGCAACTCTTACAAAGGAAAACACTTAATTGAGTGTTAACACAGTTTCAGATGTTTAGTTCTTGTCATCATGGTGGGACATGACAGCATGTAGGCTGACTGGGTGTGGGAGAGTAACTGAGCGTGGAAAAGAGCTGCATCCTGATCTGAAGGGCAGAGGAAGTGGACTGAACTACGCATAACTTGAACATAGGAAACCTCAAAGCCCGCCCCCACAGTGACACACTTCCTCCAACAGGACCACACCTACTTCAGCAAGGCCACACCTCCTATGGTGCTACTCTCTGTGAGCTTATGGGGTAATTACATTCAAAGTCCCCCAGTAAGTTGGCTTTTACTTGATAGTTATTTATTTTTTGCATATTGTTTTCTACTTAAGAAAATTTAATTTGATTTGGATTATATGTATAGCTTGGTTCTTTTTATTTAAAAACTGAAAAGCTGCCAGGCGGTGGTGGTACATGCCTTTAATCCCAGCACTCGGGTAGCAGAGGCAGGTGGATCTCTGCAAGTTCGAGACCAGCCTGGTCTATAAGAGCTAGTTCCAGGACAGGCTCCAAAGCTACAGAGAAACCCTCTCTCGGAAAAAAAAAAAAAAAAAAAAAAACTGGAAAGCTTTCATTTAAATTCATTAGAACCGTCTTAGTATTTCATTGAGACAAACCACTAATCAAAGCCCAACTCACGACAGGTCACAGTAGAAATAACCTACCTTAACTCCATAAACCTTAAGCAATCTGCGTTACCCACATGAGTTCAGTCAGCTCCTGGTTTTAAAAATAAGGATAATACATGTGTGGTGGCACACACCATTAGTCTCTGGTGCGGGAGAATTGTCTGTATTCTGTCAATCATGTTTTAAGTCTCAGAACTCAGGAGGCAGGTGACTCTCTGTGTGTTGGAGACTAGCATGGTCTACATAGAGTTCAGAACAGGCAGGGATAGATAGATCCTGTCTCAAAGGATCTATCTTTGACAAACAAACAAAAGGAATAGTAGTAAAACTTTGATTTCCATCTTTTTAAAAAGCAGCTGTAAAACTACTTTTCTTCCTGTTCTCTTTCTTCTATATTTTAAAAATACTATATATCTATATATCTAGTATTGGAGTGTGGTAAAATAAACACTGAGCTAAACAGCCTTTCTAGAGGGCCATTTGGAAGTGTGTATAAAGAAGAACCTTAGGAACAGAGCCAGGGAGGTGTCTTAGTAGGCAAAACACTAGTTTATAGTTAAAGATTAGAAGCAACCCACATATTAAAAGTAAGGAGTTAGTAAAATAAACATTGATCTGACATGTGCAGGGGTGATCATGTAGCTCCTTGGTGGAACACATGTTCTACATGATTATTGAGGTGGTGGCAGTACTGAGATAGTTTTGCTTTGTGTATCCCAGGCTGGCCCCAAACTCGTGGTAGTCCTTCTGCTTCAGTGCTGGGATTACAGGCTGAGGTACCATGCTTACCTTTGAAGATCAATTCTTTCTTCCTGTCCTTTATTTATTTTTTGGGTTTTTTTCAAGATAGTGTTTCTCTGTGTAATAGCTCTAGCCATCTTGGAATTCGCTCTGTAGACCAGGCGGGCCTTGAACTCACAGAGATCCCCCTGCCTCTGCCTCCTGTGTGCTAGATTTAAAGGAGTGCACCACTGCTGCCCAGCAAAAATTAATTCTTTTAAAACTGTAGTTTATTGTTTACTTTCTCAAATAATTGTATCTGGTAACTATGTGTTTGGCATTGTCCACATAAGCCAGTAAATTTTGTGTTTTGAACTTTGTATGTTAACTTACAGAAGCTAGCGTGTTCTAGCCATACAGTCTAATTAAAATATTAAATTAACATGTCACGTGAGAACATAGACAGTAGTTCTGAGTGTCCAGTCTAGCCAGAAACACAGACCTGATTATCTATGAATTGGCCTAAGAGAGGAGGATTATTAGGTAAGGCAGACCTTGTGTAGGGGGAAACCTTGACCAAAGCATAAAAGACCAGAAATAAAACACAAGCACAAAAAAGTTAACTCGGCTCACTTTAGATGATTAGACTCAAATATAAATGGCTCTCGCAAAGAGTGGGTTGGCCATTCTTACTGCGGCCTGTTTCTTAAAATTAATAATCTAGGGGAATCACTTAAATATTTTGTATAAATACTAACTTTCTGGGGCTAGAGAGGTAGCTCACAGTTCAGAGCGCTACGAGAAGATGCAGGTTGGGTTCCCAGCACCCACATAGAGGCTCATGGTTGCGACTCCATGTCCATGCAGATCCAGTGTTGTCATCCCACCTTCAATGTTACTACATGTAACATGATGCCCATACATACCACACTCAGGCGTGTGTGTGTGTGTGTGCAAATCTACACACAAACAAGTAAATATTTTAGTCTTAGCTCCTAAGTCCGTTCATGGAATGCTCCCAAGTGAGAGTGTGTTGTGTTGTGGATACGGGAAGCTGTTGCAGGCAGAACCGATAGCTCGGCATTGTCTTCTCTACAGTTGCTTGTTTATTTGGAAAGGGGATAGTTTGAAGGAAATGAAAGTTATACTGAAAGAACTCTAAAAGGGGGGTGTTGTCAGCATTTCTCATTTTTACTTGCGCTCTAATCTAGTACTCGGGAAATAGGCAAGATAAGTGTTAGTGTGTTGATAAGCTAAGGTGTGCTGACGGAATCTGGACTATGATTCTAATATAAACATGCGTGTCGGTCAGACTGGAAGGATATAGGGAGAGTGAAGTAGTTGATAAGTTAAATAGTAACATTACGGGCAATTTTTATTTTATATTAAATGTATTATTAAAATTTGAGCCTCTCAAATATTGAATGTCATACGATATTCTGAACACTAATATTTTCCTTTATATTCCCATATTAAATTCCATTTTAAAATAATTGAGATAGCTAAAGAGAACTCAGTTACTAGAGTGTTGTAAGGACTGTGTTCATGGTGAGAAATAGGTAACAGACTGGATTAATTCTCGCCCCAGTCTTTGTAGAAATACAGTGTTAGCCGGGCGGTGGTGGTTAATGCCTTTAGTCCCAGCACTTGCGAGGCAGAGGCAGGCAGATCTCTGTGAGTTCGAGGCCAGCCTGGTCTAGAAAATTTCCA